ATTGTGGACAAATAAACACTTTGAAACAAGTATCAGCCTAAGGCATACAGTTCCTCACACTTGTCTCACTCCCCCTGCCCCAAAAGGGCCACACTACATTATTCTCCATCATTCTGGTAGCTATAAGTCTGAAACTGAGGTATCTTCAGATCTGTGCTGCCATGGAAGATTCTAAGGGACCATCTATTCTCACTTCAGCCTATAGTGGCTGTGATGGTTTGAATGAGAATGGCCCCATAGTTTCATGTATTTGAATACTTGGGCCCCAGTTAGTGGAACTGTTTGGGAAGGATGAGAAGGTGTGGTCTTGTTGAAGAAGGCCTGTCACTTGGGGTAAGCTTAAGTTTTCAAAAAAACCATGCCAGTCCCAATCAGCGCTCTCTCTCTCTCTCTCTCTCTCTCTCTCTCTCTCTCTCTCTCTCTCTCTCTCTGCCTCATGTCTGTGGATCAGAATGTGAGCTCTCAGCTACTGCTCCAGCACCATGCCAGCCTGCTTGTTTCCACGCTCCACGACATGGTGGTCATAGACTGTAGCCCTCTGAAACCATGAGCCCCAATTAACTCCATCTTTTATAAGTTGCCTTGGTCATGGTGTCTCTTCACAGACCTAGAAAAGTCTTTGAAACAGCAGCTCCAAGGTCAGCATGTAGGGCACAGAACCAGTCTGTCTCCAAGTCCCCATGGTGGGACCTGCATGTCTTTCTCCTTGTAGCGAATTAGTCATAGGTGAGTAAGACCCTTTCTAATGACCTAATCTGGACCCAGTCACTTCTGCAAAGCACGTCTCAGTCATGGTAGACTAGTACTTGAACATGTTTGTGTGGAGCAGTCTGTCCCACTAAAGGCAGGACTGTGGCTCTCTGTTCCCTTTGCCCAGGATACCTTCTCCTGGACCCCTGTGGACAAGCCTGGGGCTTTCCAGTGCCTCCAAGGACCAATAGCTCCTGGTGTCACCTCTTTGTTCCTCTTTCCCAGCTCTCTGCCTCTCTCGCCACCCAGGCACACTTCTCCAAGTGTCCCCTGCCTCCCGTCCCCTTCCAGGCTTTGCTCACAGGTCACCCTAGTCCACCCCCTTTTGCCTTTCCTGCTCTTTTATTGCTCACAGCATCGGCCACTTGGAGTTTGCAGCGTGACACATTCATCTGCAGTGTCTTCTCTTCAAAGTGTCTTTCCCACAGTGTGAACATCGGCCCATGAGGGCGCGTTCACAGACACACTTACAGCATAAGCCTCTGTGGCCATGTGGTGGTTGGTTGATGCTTGTTTTTCCATGCCTTCCTAACACATTTTCTGAATCTGTCAACTGTTTTGGAGGATATGCCCCCTTAAAAGAACACGAACCTCTATTTTTTCTTCAAAATGAGGTACTCAGCCATACATGGGATTTAGCAACAAAACACTCGAGTTAAAAAAATAATAAACTAAAACAAATGTCATGAGGTCAAGCTGGAGTATGTTATTTTTGTCAAAATAAAAGGTTTATAGATTTTTTTTAATGTGGAAATTGCTGATGAAAAGTTTACTTGTCACCCTTTCAAAGGTTGTTGTCTATTAATTAATTAATAATTATTGTTAAGAGGCTGTTGTTTGCTTTGAAATCAGTGTGGTGTGTGTGTCGCAGTACTTACTAGGGACAAGTCAGATAGCCACGCTTCATAGCAGACTCTCTTGGAGCACTGGTTATTTTTTAAGCTCAGCAAAAACACCGTTCGGAATATCCCTGCAGCTCTGTAACTATACACATTTCAGGCAAATACGATGGGTACAAATTCCAACAGGAAGCAGAACATGGAAAATAGATAGCACTGAGCATTTGCAAAGTCACATCCCACTAAAGTGTTGCCAGAATATGTGGGTTCCTGCAGGGAAATTTTTATCTCTTGTAGACTATTTGAAGTAAATGGATTCGGCTGAAGAAAGGATGTGGTTTAAAATATTAGGACTAGTCCCTTCTTTCAGCCCCATTCTATGTGGGAGACACGCTAATAACAGGTTTTATATGAATGCATTGAAGGGCTGCATTGGAGATGATGTCACTTTCAGTTACCAGGATCCTGACACGTGCAGGAGTGTGCTGTCCTATTCTTGCATTTTTGTAGATACAGCTTTGCAAATGCATCGCGTATAGGCAAAATGTCACTTGAGACTACAATGAGAAAGGTGTGTATTTGACTGGCTTGCGCTGTCCGTTATTGGGTGCCCAGCCCAACCCTGAACTCTGGGGTCAGATGGAACAGATTTCCTGAGGTGCAGCCAGCTGCCTGGCACAAACCTGCATAAAAAATAGATGACCTGAATGTGTGGGACAGGCTGCATTTGTGACTCCCTCGGCAGACTGGCTCAACGCGTAGGCACAGCTCCTTACGGCTGGTTGTGCAGTGTTTATCATGGCAAGAAGATTCTTCCGTCACAGATGTTAAAACTTACATTGAGATGGTAAATTATATTAACAGTGCTTTCCCAGGGACATGGATGGACAGTGTAGATGGGACTTAGAATCCAATGGGAAATTCCTTGTTGAATATTTGTGCTCACAGCCAGACTCAATCATTGTTCATCTTGGAAGGCTCCTATATGATAGCTGTTCATACAGTTTGGCAAATCATACAGTGTGTCTAGCAAAAGCAACTTAAAGTCATCATTTTTTTTTTTTTTTTGCTTACCTGAGGCCAACTTCTCCAAAAATGAACTGCCACGCACACAAACGTGCACACGCCTGTATGATCACGTGTGTGCACATAGATGAATGTTCCAGAGATTAAACATTGAGTGTCTTCCCTGATTGTCCCCCACTTATTCATGTTTTATTTATTTTTGAGACAGTATCTCCCACTGAATCGAGAGCTCACTGATCGGCTAGACTATTTAGCAAATAAGCTCTCACGATCTCCCTGTCTCCACCTTCCAGGCCTGGAATTACAGGTGCGGCCCACTGCACCCAGCTGCTTATGTGGGTGCTGGGGACTGAACTCAGGTGCTCAGGCCTGCGCTTCGAGCATTTCACCCACTGAGCAACTGTCTCAGTACTTCTTATCTTCTTGTAGGAACATTCTGCAAGTCCTATCAAATCAGAACAGAAGGTCATTATCAACCAGCACACTCACCTACCCAGGACGTTGTTTGCTTGCACGTATTCAAAGCAAGCTCTGTAAGTAACTGAGTAAACACGTGCTCATGAGGTAAATGAAGCGGGGTGCGTTCTTTGCATCTGATGATGTGCGTGCTTGGTGAGGAGGGCTTTGTTCAACGTCAGGCATTGTAGTGCAGTGAGGAAGCCCAGTACAGGCAGTTCCGGCAGGGTCTGACCTGTGGTCGGTGCCTGTGGGGTTTAAGGATTGCAACGATCCTCAAGAGTGCCGTGTGCCCACATTTCCTAACTCTGTGACCTTGAACAAGTTAGTGACCTATCAGACTGTCGTTCGTCTCTCCATCCCTTAAGAAGTTAAACTTGTAAATGTATGTGTATGGTGTCGAGTGTATAATTGGCTCAGCACCAAATACATGATGGTGTCTTAAGACTGCACGGAAGGCGTGAGTTTCATTTCTTACGCTTGGGTGCTAAGACTTTTTTAATTTGGGGGTGGCTATTCCATCACACATTCATATAGCAGAGGTCTTGATGCTGCAGCTGTGTGCACCTGTATATGTATACAACACATATGACATTTGGTGCAGACTGATGGGGACGTCCTACTGTGTGCAGGTCTGCGTACTTTGATGTTAGGGAAATGGTCCTGATGTGACTGAAGACTGAACACCGTAATCCTCTGTGAGGTTTCAGCATCACACACCTGGAAACCTCTGTCCAGACATGAGTGACTGACTGCTCTTGGCTTTAGAGGTCCTCAGAGGGAAGATCAGCACCAGCTACAGCGTCCCCGTGAGCTCCAGGGGACTCAGAGGAGGAGGGGGAGCCTCAGTTCAGAGTCCTCCTCCCACAACCCCAAGGCCACAGGGCCTGAGCTGTTTTTAGATCAAACTTTGAAAAAAAAAGGTGACTCTATCTCTTTATGATCAGCGTGCCTCAGGGCCCCCGTGGAAGTATGAAAGTTCACTGGTATGTTTAAATTGAGTCTTCTGAGGATCAAATGAGAATTGTCAGAAATTTGGTTTTGTTTGTATGTGAAGTAGTAATCTTTCTTAAATTAAACACTTTAAGGCATTCCTCTATTTATCAGAATCCTTAATTAGAAAAAAAAAAAACCCAGTGACTCTATTAATTGGGCAGCAGGCAAGGTATAGTCATGGCTCAAGTTTTTAAAAGTATTAAGCATACTTGTCGACAAACATTTTTCTTACTGCCAGGACTCAGTGGCTTTAACGCTACCCAAAGGCTCATAAATTACTTAAAAGTGTGTGCTCTGCACTTTTCCCCAGAAATCTCGGTGGACGGTCATGTAAATGGGGTGTAGCGTTGATGAATTACACCTTTCCTCCTGATTCGAGGCTGAGTTTCCTATTATTAAATGGTCATGTGCCAAGACACTCAGTGGCCTGATGGTCAATTAAATTTCAAAAGGACTTCAAAGGCCAGGCACAGCCATTTCCCCTTCTTTTTGAACGCCTTAATAGCAACGGTCTCGAATTCCTTGGAAAAATTAAAATGCAGTTCATTTGCAGCCAGCGTTGGGTAATTATAAAATATTGTTCTGCAATTTCTTTTAAGAAGGGAACTTCATTCTGAGGAGCAGATGTGACAGTCACCGGAGGGCTGAGAGGTAACAATGAGAGGTAACAATGGCTTTGCTAACATTGTCAAGGAAGCAGCGACTCCGCTCTGTGCAAGATATTTTAATTCAGCTCCATTGTTTCCAAGGCAGATTTGCATATCTCAGAGGGGAAAACTCCACCCGTGAGTCCTGTGCCACAGGCATAAATCTTACAGGGCATGTGACTGCTGTACACAAAGGAGACCACTGGTGAAGGCGACTCTCTGGGAAGTCACTCCTCGGATGGGAGCTGGGATTTTCCACTGCCATGCGCTGTCACTCTTCACACTGCCCTTTAGTCTCCTGGAGGGAAAAGTACCCAGAATTCCTGTTGTGATCCAAACAAACCCATGGAGGAAGATCCCCAGCTGCTGCTGCTGCCCACCCTGCCGGTGCCCAGATCTGGGACCGTTAGAGGGACAGTGTGGACTGAAAAGTACCTGGAAGCACACGGCTTGCAAGTGGAAATCTGGAAATTCCTCCTCTAAGGTAATCCGTTTTTAAAAATCTATCTTACAAGATGTGTCAAACACACAGATATGGGTGTGAAGAAGCCTTAGAAGCCCGAGTCACCCTGAGCTCGGCCCGTCCTGGACCTCCAAACTGCAGTGCTAAGGCGGCCAGTGAAAGGCCAGTTAAAATCAACATTCCAAGGATCTTTTTTATTTTGTTCCGCTATTATAGACGTAGTCTCGAGAGATCTCTGCTTCTTTCTTTTCACCTGGTTTCCCTTGTGCTACAGGACAACAGGGAAGCCAGGAGATTCACACGGCCCAGCTCCTCTTTGGATCCCTCTCCAGCACTGCCATCATCAGGATGCTCCCCCAAGCCCCCCAACCCCCACCCCCACCCCCACCCCCACCCCCACCCCCAGTCAGTCTGTTGGCAGAGACAGGATAGAACAGGATGCCATCAGGATCCTCCCGCCTCTGTCCCATGAGGGGTGTGGCCATTTACCTTGTGCTTCCATGAAAGAAGGAACCTCTTCTGTAGTCCACACAGACAGTGTTGTCTTAATGGATGGTAAAGGGAATCATGGGGACACTGGGCATCTTCTCCCTAAGGAGATTCCCAGTGATGTCCAGGAAGAAGAGGTGCTATGAGAGAAAGGGAGATGCAGGAGGTAACGTATTTGTTGTTAGGAGCTCCCAGCTGCAGAGGTTCCTGTACTAATCTGACAAAATGCAGACAGAGTCTGGCTTTATCACTCTCAGGTGTTCCAGAACACCTGCTCCCAGCAGCTTCCCATTGCTCTTGTTTTGAGACAGAGTCGGGCTCTGCAGCTCCAGCTGACCTTGACTGCCTGGCAATCCTCCTGTCTCAGCCATCCTAGTGCTGGAATTACAAAGGTGAGCCACTGCACTGGGCTTTACCCAGCACTGTTAAATAAAGTACCCTGTGCCCCGTCCCTGCTCCTGCTCCTGCTCCCCCCACCTTCCATGAGAATAGGTCACCATGATGAGTAAAGGGAACATTTCGCTTCTGTTGCCCAGAAAGTTTTTGGTTGAAACACCAGGCTTTCAATTTCCTGAACAATCCCCTATGTGTTGATTGGCCATTTCCTGTTGACATAATGCTGTCATAATCTAGAATGATGCTGTAGTTCCCCAGCCAATCCTTGCTCTAAGTAGAGCAATACTCCCCTTCTATATTCTGTTTGATAAGGAGTGAGGCCCTGAACAGGGTCAGCCAATGGGAGGTCATCTGTGAACACCTGATGTCTCTATGTGGCCGTGCAGCAGCGCTCAAAGCTGGACTACGAGACTTTGTAAGATTTTTTTGCTTTTCAAACTTAATTCATTCATTCATTCATTCATTCACTGTGTGTGGAGGTCAGAGGACAACTTGCAGAAGTCAGTTCCCTCCTGACTCTGTGTGGGTTCAGACATCAAACTCAGGTCATCAGGATTGGTGGCAAGTGCCTTTCCTCACTGAGCCAACTCTCTGGCCCTAGATTTTCTAGAATTTTTAAGAGATTCCCATCAGACACTCAAGGATCTCAACACTTGCTATCTCTCCATGAGATTTTCTTGATTTCTGATGGAAACAGAAATTCAGCCAAGTGGCATGTGGCCAGCCATGAATGCCAGTCCTAGACTTCACTGTCACTGAACCTGGAGTAGAAGAGACACCCTCTCTCATACAACCTACTCACTGATAATGTGGACTGTCTGTCCTCAGATCAGTTGAGACAGAAAGCGAACAGTTTAAATGAATGCCCAGGAAGCATCCAAGATGTTCAGCGAGAAGAGGAAGAGTCACTGTGGGGTGGGTAGCACAGACATCATTCTGTAAAATTACCAGATCAACAGTTGCCATCACATTCTTTGAAGGGAGCCCTTCACCTCCAGGGCAGAGCATGACTCGGTCAGCGCCCTGCGCTCTGGCTTTTCTGCCTTTTTAACACAGATGCATGCGACGCTGTGCGCTTCTTCCTGCGGCTTGGTTTCCCCGTTTGTTGATGTAATGGAAACTACCCTGGTGTCTAACCACCTAAGGGATAGATTTTACCCAGTTTCGTTGGGCTTTAATATAAACCTACACTTTTCCCCTATCCATCAGGGCTGCGTCCACGCCTGCGCACAAAGCCTACCACAGTTTACTCCTGATGGTTCCAGAGTGGGGCTTTTAATAGAACCCTGGGCATGTGTCATGTTAAAAAATGACCTCTCTGATGTTGTAATAAGATTAAAAACTTGGCATGGTGCCTAGATCAGATGACAATATTTATGAACACTCTTTGTAATATTTTGGATTCTAAAAAACCCCCTCCCCCCAACACACACACCACTGCGCTAAGTCAATAGGGAAATATTAATCTCCAGGAAGTCAGAAAGGGAAGTCACCAGGGGGATGGGCCACGGGGTCACTTTAGTTTCATTGCATAAGCCTCTGGTTACAGCAAAGCCTTCTGCTGGAAGTTCTTACTGAGAAAACAGCAGAGACAAGCCCTCTACCTCCCTTGGCTTTTGGTGAGGAAGAGGTCGGGAGTGACCCCCTGTGTGCTTTAAAAGGCCCCACTTGCCCCTCGCTGAGGCTTGCTTCACTGGCTGTTTAATAAACATCTGAAACAATGTTTTAGACTTATCTGTGTTCATTAGCTTTGCAAGACTTCAGACCTTTGACCGTATTTCTTTTTTAAAATACTTTGTTCATTCATTCATTCATTTATTTGTGTGTGTGTGTGTGTGTGTGTGTGTGTGTGTGTGTGTGTACACATGCAAGAGTGAAGGCATACACACACACACACACACACACACACACACACACACACACACACACACACTCACGTACACACATACACACACACCCCACAGCATTCACATGGAGGCTACAGGACATCTTTTGGGAGGTTACTCTCTCCTTCTTCTGTGGACTCTAGGATGGAGCTTGGGTCATTGGGCAGTGGGCATGAGCCATCTCACCAGCCCTTAACCAAAGTTCTTTCCATCCACTTTCAAAGTCAGTGACAAAAATATGCTCTGCTATGGATGCTGGACCTTACAGTCTGAGCCACTTTAAGACTACTAAAACTTTTTTTTTCAAGACAGGGTTTCTCTGTGTAGTTTTGGTGCCTGTCCTGGATCTCACTCTGTAGACTAGGCTGGTCTTGAACTCACAGAGATCTGCCTGCCTCTGCCTCCAGAGTGCTGGGATTAAAGGCATGCACCACCACCACCCGGCTGTAAAACATTTTTTAAAAAGCCATATTTATCGTTTCCTCCCCCAAATTGTAGGGCCATTTTGGCATTATGGAGCATTTATAAACCTTGGGATTTATAAACGAGGTGATTCAGTTGCTTGACAGCCACCAAAGACCAACCATTTTTCCAGAAAGATGATGAACTTGAGGGAGGAGTCGTCGAGACTAGAATCGGGTGAAGGGTGGCCAGGAGATTCACCATGTCCTCTTCCCTGAAATCAGAGCCAGCTGCCTCCCGTATTTACTTCCCATGGACTGACTGAGGATGAGCTCAAGGCTGCCTTTGCTACATCCAGGCCTTCCTGGCTCATGGCTTCAGCCTGCCTATCAGGCTTCTTCATGTGTAGTGTGGCGTTGGAAGTGAAGGTGGAGATAAGCAGTTACTATGTGGGTTTCCCGCAAGGACCCAGGAATGGTGGAAATGAGAAAGTGAAAGCCAGAGTTCATCTCCTGTGAGTGAAAGCCAAAAAGGAGAGAAAGAGGTTCCCAGCAGAGTCCCACAGGAGGGACCCAGCTCCCCATGTCTACTGTCCCCTAAGCAGAGTCCCACGGGAGGGACCCAGCTCCCTGTGTCTACGGTCCGAGTCCCACAGGAGGGACCTAGCTCCCATGACCTCTGTCCCCCAAGCAGCATCAGCCTTCCTAAGACACACTTACCCTTGTCATCTATCACTGTAGCCATAGCGCCACTGGGACAGGGAACTCGCACCCCGTCCCTTCTGCACGAAAACACCAAGCCCCTGCAGACACTCACTCAGTTACGATCCCATCTTTGCAGCATATCCCTGTACACAGACGGATGCACACGCAGCCGGACCAGGGAAATGGAAGTCTGTCCGACAGGACCTTGTATTCCAAAACCATACCCAGGAAGCTCCCGGACAAAGGCAAGCCTTCAGCGGCCCACTGCTCTGAAGTACTCTTGGCCAACTTGCTTGGTCTGTAGCCATCTTAAAACTTCTCTCCTAGCACCCCACAAGATGGGGTACTTGTATTTTGCACATATGAGAGTGAAACATTTATTTTAAAACATAGTTTAGAGTCAAGGAAGACTAGCAAAGATTTCATTTGCCATTTCCAAGTCTTATCTCAGAGGTTTTGAGTTTAGAAACTCAACAAAACAAGAGATTAGCCTCTGTATCTCCTCAGAGTGTGTGTGCCATGTGCCAATGAGGCCAGGGTGGACTCAGCCACGCAAAGACAACTACATGATAGATGCACTGAGAACTGCCTTCCAGTACCCTGAGACACTCCCTAGTTCCCTCTGTTGTGGGGCACAGCACTGACTACTGGAGACGAGTTCTAGTTACAGCTTTTCTGCAATCTGCCCTCACCCAAACAGAATCTGTCTCTGCTCTGCTCCTAGGACTGTGTGAAGTTAATCCAGGAGGCAGGTTGTTCTCCATTACTGGTTGAGGCAGGTCGGGCTGGAGAAATGACTCCCTGGGTGGAACACTATCAATGTAAGCATGAGTACATGAGTTCAGATCCCCAAGTATCCACAATAAAAGCCAGACCTGGTGACGTGCATCTGTAATCCCAGAGCTCCTAGGGTAAGATGGAAGGTAGAGATGGGAGAAGCCATAGAAAACTGCAGGTCAGCTAAGCAGGGATATGGTCAACAAGAGACGCTGCTCCAAACAAGGTAGAAGGTGAGAACTAAAACCCCTCCTTATACACGTGGCATGTGTCTACCCATATTCTCTCTCTCCCCCTCCCCAACCCCTCTCATGCACACCACACACTACACACACACACACACACACACACACACACACACACACACACACACGAAGATGTTGTTTTACATTATGCTGGAGAGATAGCTCAGTGGTTAAGAGCACTTGCTGTTCTTCTAGAGGACCTGAGTTTGGTTTCCAGCACCCACATAGGATGGTTCACAACCACCCATAACTCTAGCTCCAGGGGATCCAGTGTCCTGTGGAGAAATCTCTGTGGGCGGTCCTCTCATCAATAGCCCCTGCACCTTCCCTTAAAAATGTGTCAGATCGGCCGGGCGGTGGTGGCGCACACCTTTAATCCCAGCACTCGGGAGGCAGAGGCAGGCGGATCTCTGTGAGTTCGAGGCTAGCCTGGGCTACCAAGTGAGTTCCAGGAAAGGCGAAAAGCTACACAGAGAAACCATGTCTTGAAAAACAAAAAAACAAAACAAAAAAAAATGTGTCAGATCTCCTGGCACTAACACTCACTGTGTTCTCTGGAGTACCAAGCCACTTATTCAAGAAGCCATCCCTGTCCAGCTTCCTTCCCCACAGTCACAGGTGGAGAGGGCTCCTGCCTCAAAGAGGAGCAGGGATCTTCTGGCCTCTGTGCATCAAGGACTCCCATACTCTGTAGCGTCAAGGACGGGAGGAACCTCATGAAGGTGGCTTCCCATTTGCTTTTGAATGGTTCCTCCCAGAAACAAAGCAGTATCTTTTTACCTAGGAAAAGTCACCAATTCAGAGAAACACAGAGAGGGAATGCACTCGTCCCTACTTCTGCCCAGTTCAGATGATCACTCACTTTTATTCCATCTGGGGTCCCAATGTAAGGGAAATTCTAAAGTAGTTCAAACTGACGTGTGGCCAGCTTTCTTTCCTGCTATTAGACATTTTCAACCTTAACTGTCCCTAGTGGCTAGGACATTCTATATTACTTTTTTTTTGGATGCATATATACAAACATAAATACATTTTATTGAAGTCATGAGATCACAGTAGAAACTAATACATTGACTGGATTAACTCTAGTGTAGTTAATATAATAAAATGAATATAATCTGTCAGCCTTTAGTAAGTAATACAATTTTTGAGGCATGAAACAGAAGACAGAAATCTCATATTACAATTAAGTTTCGAATAAGTATACCCCACAGCTTCAAGGGTATAGTAGATTGATGTGCAAGTCAATCTGTATAGCATGAATCTTAAAAGTTCTTATTAATAAAATCAAACCTGAGGCCAGTTATTGGGGTGAATGCTGGAAGATCAGAGAAGCAGAACAAGCCACAGCTACCTCACCTTGCCTGTTCCTCAGCTGGTCTTGTTTCCTCAGACTGGAGGCCTCTGAGTCCTCATTGAGAATGAATCTCAGCTGAACTGCTGCTAGAAGCCTGAAAGCTTAACCAACCAAATGCTTCTAGTTTCTGGTCTTCACGCCTTATATACCTTTCTGCTTTCTGCCATCACTCCCTGGGATTAAAGGCTCACTTTCTGGGGTTAAAGGTATGAGTCACCATGCCTGGCTATTTCCAGTGTGGCCTTGAATTTACAGAGATCCAGAGGGATTTCTGCCTCTGGAATGCTAGGATTAAAGGCAGAGCGACCACTGTCTATCCTCTATGTTTAATATTGTGGCTGTCCTGTTCTCTGACCCCAGATAAGTTTGTTAGCATGCACAATATTTTGGGGAACACAATACCACCACATATCTGTAAAAGTCAGTTTCTTCTGATACTCAAAGAACACCAATATCAATAGCTCAGAGAGGCAGGAAGCACTTTTAAAAATATACTTATGAGGGAAGGAGTCATTTAAGAGAATACAGGAAAGCTGGATAGGAATGAGAGCCCTAAGTGGGGAGTCACCATTTTGAGTGGCAGCTGTTTCCTGTGAGGTAGGAACAAAGTTTGGGAGTTGTGTGTGCATGGTGCCGGGGGAGCTCCCAGCGTCCCTGCTTCTCAGAACAAACCACGAGGGCATGTTCCTCTCTAATGTCTCTGTTGTTGTTTGGGTTTTTGAGACAGGGTTTCACACAGCCGAGGCAGGCCTCTGACTCTGTTTATAGCTGAAGAGGACCTTGAACTCCTGATCTTCTTCTTGCCGTGTCCCCAGGACTGGGATTACAGGTGCAGCCCATTTCCATCTCCAAATGCCTCTGCAGAGGTCTAAGTAAATAAAGTTAGGATGTGGAAGGCGCCATCTCTTTCCTCAAGAATAAAGGGTTCAGGGAAAGGCGAGTGACAATCACGTCTTGTGTGTCCTTCTGGAGTATGGCATGCAGTAGAGAGGTGTTCTAGGACAGTGAGCAGAGGCCCCAGCTGGGAGAGAGGAGGATGCTCTCTGGAAAGCTAAGCCAGTTCAAATGACGGTATCCCTGAGGCTTAGCGGTCCCCTGCCCAACTATTGCTAGTGTTGCTGTTCTCCACACAGGGAGAGCTTACGGAGCTAACAGAAGAGCGCAAGTCCGGCCAACTCACCTTGGGTCCCAGACCTGCTACTTACAGGCCTGCTTTGGACCTTCGTTTCTGTTGAGTGTGCATGTGTTCAACATTACCTAGTTTTTTGTTTGTTTTTTTGTTTTGTTTTTTCATCTCCCACTTTATTATCGACAGAGTTTGTACTGACTTTGGGCAATGACATTGATATCCTGGCCACCCAACAGTGTAACTTGAGAAATGCTGCTGGCTGGGAAGAGAGAGGCCGGTGGAGCCTGCCTGGCGTGACTCCAACCCCCATGTTGCCTTGTACTTCAGGGCCCCTTTCTGAATGTCACTGGAACCAGAGCAGCTGAGATGTTCTCAGCATGAGGAGCCTTTGGATTTCAGTTTCACGTTAGTAATATCGAGTGTCACATATGGAGCTGGAGAGATGCCTCAGCAATTAAGCAGATGACCCCAGTTTGTGTCCCCGTACCCAAGTTGGGTGGATCATGATCACCTATAACTCTGGTTGCAGGGGGATCCAACTTGACCTTTGAGCTTCTGTAGGCACTTGGACTCAATTCACACATGCTTACATGCAAGCCCGTGCCCGTGTGTGCATGTGTACTCACACACACGCAATTGAATAAAGCCATAAAATCTTGAAAAGAGTGTATACACACACACACATACACACCTCACCACCTTCTTCATGGTCATAAGACTAATCTAAGTATTTGAAATCATAATATTTATGTTGTAGTGTTGCGCTGTGGTTTTGTGATGCCTAGAGCAGCCATGTGGGTCGGCCCTCAGTAGACCATGGATGGAAGCAGCTGTCAGCATAATTGTCCACGGGCAGCTGTGCCCGAGGCATCCGCCCTGTCATGGGACACACTGCGTTGATCTCTCATTAGAAAATAAGGGAAGCAGCCAGCAGCAAGTGTCCCCTGGAGGGAAGCAGGCAGGTCAGTGTGTGTGACAGGTGGGGCGGCTTGAAACCCAGCATCACTCCCCACATCTGTCACTGTCCAAGGAGAGAGTGGTCCCTTCTCCAAAGTCACTGTTTGGGGGGTTGTAGATAACATCGTGGACCACAGAAGTCCCTGCCCATGTGTCCTTAGCTCCCGTGAATCAGGACCAAGGGAAAGTGACTGAACTTGCTCTGTGTCTCAGACCTGAAGAAAGTTCACATTGTTTTTGCAAGACATCTTGCCGTGTGGTCCTGCTGTCTTCTCGCCTAAAAGGACGAGGGACCTTCTGACGTGCCGCAGTGACCCTGAAGGTGACAGTGACAGCAGCCATCCCTGGAACGTCAGGACAGCTGCCTCTAGCACAGAGTGAAGCAGTACACCTGATCTACCCCGCAGATGGCAGGAGGTTCATGAAAACATCAGACACACCAGTGCGGGTAAACACTCCCACCCACGTGACGTGCTTTTGTGTTAATTAAGGGAGAAGACTGCCCCATGCCTGGCCAGACCTGCCCCAGGTTGCTCCTTGCTCCCTGTGTGGGAGTAGACTTTCTCCTGCGCATTCCTCACTTTCACAGTGGCCCCTCTTCCGATATGCCCATGAATAAACCCAGCAGAGTGTTTCCTAGTGAGGAATCATCCTAGCCTGCAGCAACGCGTCTCAGGATTAGGAGTTTGGATCTCTGGGTCAGTCCCTCTCTGTGGTCAGACTCTGTCACATGTGTGACCCACAGCAGTGCCCAGACAGTCACATTCACCTGTCCATCGGCTCTGGTTGAAATCTGTCGGAAAGCAGACCCCTGTGGGGGGGCTTTGTCTTATGTATTTCTACTATGGCTTTCTGCGCCTTAGAAGAGGCATGCAGGGAAGATGCTATTCATCAATTCAAGAGACCTAAGAGAGGAAGTGATTCTGTTTTTATTTAAAGTTGGCATTTTCCTCAGTTGCTCCAACCTAGAGAAGGGGGTACCTGGGCAAGTATCCAACCGTCATAGTTCAGCCATGCTGTTCTGCTCAGAAACTCAGCGACTCCCGCACACTGTCAACACGGCAGGGTGAAGATATAGTTGTAATAATTAAAATCAAGGCAGAGCTCATAAAAAGCTGTGTGGCTACTCCCAATGCTGCCGTGATCATAAAATACTCTGAGAAAAAGCAACCTAAGATAGAAGGTGTTTATTTTTGGCTAACAGTCCCAGTTACAGTCCATCCAGGCAAAGAAGTCACGCGGCAGGAGTTGGGATGAACTGGCCACACGGCATCTCTAACCAAGAACAGAGAACAGCGGCTGTTAAGGCCTGTGCTTAGCTTGCTCTCCTGGATTATTAAGTCTAGATCCTGCCCACAGGTATGATGGGTCCTTCCTACATCAGTTGATGTAATCAAAACTCCCACAAGTCTGTATTCCAGGCTGTTTTAGATTCTGTCAGGTTGGCAATGTCACCCATCACACATACACTAAGCAAACATTTGTGGCAAAAACCCCTTGCCTTCAACCCAACAGGATCAGATGGACTGACTCAGAAACATTGAGGAGGGCCAGGATGGGTCCAGTGGTTTGGGATGGGGTTGTAGGAGGGTACCTGGACTGCTGGCAAACTTTGGCAGTCGGGAGACTTATAGATGGGAAGGGAGTTTCCATGAAAGCTACATCAGGCCATAGCTCGGAGAAGGGCTACTTCCGTGGAAGCATCGAGAGAGTCTTTGGATGTGTGGGGACTCCAGACCTGTGTGTTCTGGGTGAGAGTGGAGAAGGCTGTGTATGAACAAGTATAGAACCAGGGCCAGGTCACTTTTGCATGTGAATAGAGGGTGACAGGACACTCTTGCAGACTCAGGGCAGGTGTCCAACATGGGTAACTTCTCCAATACTTGGAAACTGCAAACCCAGAAAACTTTGAAAAGACCTGATGGCATTAGGAGAGAAGCAAAGCTGGGGGAAATGATTGTGATCTATTTGCTAGATGCAATAGTTACTTTCTTAATATAGAAGAGTATCTCTCAGATTAATAGCTGAAGAATGGAATGAGGGTTCACACCAGGGGAAAAGCAAGTCGGCTTCTCTCTGAAGAGGTAAGACTTGAAACCATGGGGGAACCTCTTATCCCTTGGCTGAGGCAGAAGTTTGATAACATTTTCTCTGAGTGTGTTTGAGACAGTGACACTCAGGGCTTCTGGGAATATAAACTAATGCATTGTCCTTAGAGGTGGGTTTCAGAGTAGTGTGTGTGTGTGTGTGTGTGTGTGTGTGTGTGTGTGTGTGTGTGACACAGAGCGAGAGACTGTATTGAGTTTAAGTACAGATCAGTTAAAGGATGTTATATGTTGAAAATGAATACAGATGGGACTAGAACCAGGCGATCCCTGGGTGATTCGCGGTGACTGGTGACTGGTTGCTGGCCTCAGAAGGGCAGTGGGAGGAAGCAGTCACTAATAACACTTGGAGTAAATTTTGAGATGGACAAAAAGGCTCCTGGAGAATTGTTTGGAAGCATAGAACAGTGACCACCTATGCAGAGCAAGTTACAGGGAACACAAATGAATAAGGAAACTTAAGGTCAGAGCTACATAGGGTGACCCCTCAGCAGAGCCCTCCAGGCTGGTGTCCTACCAGGGATGGGAGGTGTTTTCAAACTCGGATCTAGTCTTGTCTTTCACCAGAATCTTAAAATCACACAAATTGAGTCCTTGGAAGTGATGACCTCTTCACTCTGGATATTTAAATATTTAAACACATAAGTAAATATTTAAATATATCTGTAGATAAGGGGAAATTCTAGAAACTTCTGAGGCATATACAATGAATAAGTGTTCAGAGTGGGACATTTTGGAAAGTACCAAAAGACACAAAAGACAAGAGGAGTTTCCAAATAGCTCCTTGTCAACTCTGCTTTGAATGTGGAAAAGTGAGTTAATACATATCCTAGAGACCACGCAGTCCCCCTAGAACATGATATCCTCAGTGTTGACCTCAGAGCTTATCAATACAAGGGCTGAGCCTCTCTTTCTAATAGGAGACTCTTATCTCAGTGGTCCAGCTGGTTTTGGGGAGATGTGGTCACTGGCTCTGGGACGGGGGGTGGGGAGGGCTGGTCACTGCTTCTAAATGTGCTCTGGACTGTGCCTGATCTGCCTGGTGACCAGGAAAGCCATGGCTCCCTCACATCCTGGCATCTCACCTGCAGAATTTCCAAGGTCTCCTTCACTGTCCTTTTATTAACTTGATTGTCTGGACCAATTTCTCTAGCACATTCTTTGGGGAGAGAGAGCCTAAACAAGAACAAGGCTAAGTTTCTGAGCATATAATAGCCTTTCCCTTTCATATTTAACTACCGTATGCTGGAATAAAGAATTGTTTTGCTGGCTTACTTTTCCCTCTGGTATAACAACTATCATTCCATGTTGCCATTAGACTTTCTGAAGGTGATCTGAATTTCCTTTCTTCATAAAGTAACTAATTTCATTGCCCAGATACCCAAAGGCCTTCCCTGTTCTTTTGACTGCGGTAAAGTCAATGGCTTACATCCTGGGCCTGTTGGTACCACAGGCTTGAACACAGGGCCCGTGTTAGCATTCTCAACCTTTTTATGTCAAGAGACACCAGTGGAGTTCCAATGTTTCATCTTTATTCCACTGTTTGTTGTGAAATTCTATCTAACCTCTGAATTAATTTTTTAATGGAAGGATGCACACGTGCGTGTGAAGGTGGCCGGTCCACACTAGGGTCTTCTCCAGTTACTCCCCACCTTGATTTTTTTTTTTTTGAGACAGGGTCTCTCACTGAGCCTGTGTCTCACAGATCTGGCTAGGCTGGCTGGCCAGGGAGCTTCAGAGTCCCCACTCCTGGGAATACGTGGGTGTGAGGAGTCTGCCCTCATGTCCTTGTGCATGCTCAGCAAGCATTCACAGCACTGAGCCATCCCCAGCTTCCCTCTTAAATATCCTTCCCTATTGCCTTGTTTCCTTCCTCCCAGCCTTCTGGGATGCCATTTCATTTCTTCGCACTCCTTGCTCACCCCCAGAATGCTTTGTCTCAGCTCTAACTCTTCCTAGAAGGCATGGCCGCCACCACCTTAAATTTCGCTACTTCTTTGCTACGTTGCTCATGTCTTCTGAATTTCATGGAGGTTGTTTGGAGCTCCTGAGGCACTGCTCTTTCTACTCTGTGTCTTTGGGAGGGGTCTCCATTCCAGCAGGAGCATCCCCTTTTCCTTGGATTAACCGGAGGCACCCTGTGGCCCCTTCTGCTCCTCCTCATCACCTGAGGGAGGGCCCCTGCATTTGTGGGAGCGAGAGATGGATTATGTAACACGAATCTTAAAAGGTCTTGTCAATAAAAAACCTGAAGCCAGATATTGGGGTAAATTCTGAAAAATTAGAGAAGCAGAACAAGCCACAGCCAACCTCACTTTACCAACTCATCTGATCCTGTTTCCATGAATCCTCAGATTGAAAGCTTCTGAGTCCTCACCCAAATGGATCTCAGCTGAACTGCTGCTAAAAGCCTCTAGTTCCTGGTCCTCACACCTTTATATACCTTTCTGCTTCCTGCCATCACTTCCTCTCTCCACCCAGCTGCATCACTTCTGTCTGTCTGTACAGACCTCCAGACCTTTATGGTTAACTAGTGTTGGAATTTAAGGCGTGTGTCCTTCCCAAGCAGAGGCATGAGATCTCAAGTGCTGGGGTTAAAGGTGTGTGCCACCACTGCTTGGCTCTGTTCCCAGTGTGGCCTTGAACTCACAGAGGTCCAAATGGATCTCTACCTCCCGAGTGATAGGATTAAAGGCACGGGTGCCACCCCTGTCTGGCCTCTATGTCTAATCTAGTGGCTGTTCTGTTCTCTGATCCCCAGATAAGTTTATTAGGGTACACAGTATATTGGGGGATACAATATCACCACAGGATTATGATGCTTTCCACCTCTCTGGCTCCACAGCTCCCCATGTTGTAACTCTCATGAACCCCTCCATCTGCCATTGGGCTCTGCCCCTGACAAATGCTCCTCTGTATAGGACTCTGTCCTGGGAGGAGACGTGTTAGTTGGTTGGAGAGTAGAACCCAGCATCCCCTTAAAAATAAGTTTTGGAATACGTATTTGTTGACTGGACATAGTGGTGCATGCCTTTAGTTCCAGCACTTGAGAAACAGAGGCAGGGAGATCTCTATAGTGAATTCCAGGACAGCCAGAGCTACATAGTGAGACTCTCTAAAGACAAAATAAAACAAACAAACAAAACTATGCCTTTGGGATTAAAGACTAAGAAACACATTCTTGAGGTGACTGCTCACTGCCAAGGAACTCAGCTGTTGATATAATACAAAATGGAATGTACTCTACTGTTCTAGAAAGAGTCAGTTCAGAAAGTTAAATGGAGAACATGGTAGATACTCATTACAATATCTTGGCAAATTACAGATGAGGAAAAATGTGGAATTAAATTCATTCTCTCTCTCTGCCTCCCCCATGCCCCATACCTCCTCCCTCACCCTTTCCCTCTCTTTGGAATCTCTAACTGGGCTTCCCCCCCCCCCCCCCCAGTTCAGAGTATCAGTTAAGTTTCGTTCACCGCGATGCTAGCTTGGCGCAGAGTGCTGTAAATAACAAGGGGCCTCTGCCACCCCACCCCCACTCCCTTATTTCCTACAGCTCGATGGCAAGTGTCCTTTTGTAACACGGCTGCAGACCCTGCGTTCCTTCCTCTTGTTCCACTACTATAGGACAGTTATGTGACTGCACGCTGGCCGCCTTCCTTCCTGGAAGAGTGGCTTTCCCTGCATTTCTTACATTTGTTTCCATCTGCACTAAATTGGAGTGAGGGAGAAATCCATTATGGAGATGACAAGAAGGGCCACCTTGGCAAAGTGCCCCCTCTTTCTTTCCTGCTCTCCAGAGATGGCTGTATGTCACAGCTCAGAGACCTTGGGAAGCCATGTTTCCCCTCCCACAGCTCCTCTGGGCTAGCCCATGGCTGCTTTGGTATTTCTGTCCCCACAGACGATTCCAGTGGGTGACCAGTGTTAAAGACTCTCCAAACTGGGCCACAGATTCAAAAGGCGATGCTAAGGTAATGGACAGGTGTGGAATGGTTGTGAGAAGCTGGTGTGCTTCTCTGGTGTGCCCTCAGCTTGCAGGTAATGGGGAAGTGTGGTGTTATTTCAACAGGGGCTGTGGCGTTAGGTCCATCCTCATGACAGCATGTCACAGCACATCACGGTGTTGTACTGAAGGCTGCAGTCAGGGTGAGGGAGGGGCCTCGGCCCCACAGCAGAGCCGTGCAGGTCAGATAGGGCCAGGATGAACAGGGCTGCCTGGCAAGAAGTTCCCCAGGGAGACCCCTGACGGTGAGGTAGCCCCAGGAAAGGTGTGTCCTGGAGCCCAGGGGAACTGAAATGAAGTGTGGGCCACTGGTTCTGTCGCTGAAGGAATGGGGCTGGAGCTGGAGGAGGACCTGCCTGTCTGGATGTAAATTTCTAAGACACAATACTAGAAAATTAAATCTGCTAATATGTTAAGTAAGCAGTACATCGAACCACAGTTGAAATTGATACTTAAAATGCAAATTCAGCATCCAAATGGGACAGGAAATGGGACACGCAACATTAAAAAATGAGTTCCTGTAGAATGATGGCTCACCTGGAACCCAGCACCCAGAAGGCCAAGTAAGGTAAGAGGATCACAAAAAGCAAATGATTCAATCACTATAACCTGTTACATTAATAATCAAACCTTAGTATATATAAATGAGTTACCTTATCAAACCCAGTTATAGGCATGAATTTTTAAAAACATTATTAGTGGTAAAAAGGGGGTTTCTGAAATCAGATAAGGCTGGTGTGTAGTGATGAAACTGACTGAAATGGCTGTTCCAGTGAGGGGTCCCAGCTCTCCACGGGTCAGTCATGAGACGGTGTCACCGTGTGGGGTAAATTATCTTCCAGGAGTTCTTCACCAACACATTAAGGCAAGAAAACTATGAAGATTAAACAAAAAGAAACAGACCTGTATTTACTCACAGGAAACACGATTTTCTAGCTAGAAAACCTAAGGGGGCCACAGACTGCTGGCATCGCCTGCAGAGGAGGGCAACGTCAGCATGCCAGTGCCAATGCACTCCTGTGGTCCAGGAGTGACCATGTGGGAATCTGAGACTGTGAACAGCACAAGCTGTGGAAGCAAGAAAGGCACCCCCCCACACACCAGGAGTCAGCGTGGAACACAGGAACGGCAGGAATGCCGTAGGGAAAGTTAACGCACACTTAGATAAAGGGAGTCTTTGTTCGTGGATTAGGGGCTGGACACTAATTGTGATTTCATCTATGGATTCAACTCAATCTCAGCAAAAATACCTCCAGGTACTTTAGGAATAGGAAATTAGAAAGGCTATCAAAAGTGAAGAGCGTGCGCTTGACTGCAATTTTGTGGCGAGTTCTAGTGTTTTATACACACGTGTGCAGAGATGATATGTCACCACTTGGGCGAAGATCTCAGCAGCACAGGAAGTCCGTGTTTGCAAGTGTGTTTATTTCAACCTCACACCCAACAGAAGAGCACGGCCCACACAGGAGGGAGCTCTGTGAGATGTGGAGAATTTTCATGGCCTTGGGGTATGCCAAGATTTCCTACATAGTTGTGAAACGCATGCTACCTGGAAGTGGAAGGAGCCAGGTAAATTATCATTAAGAACCTCATTCATGAACGTCACCACTAAAAGAATTGGAAATGCAGTGGGAAATCCGCTGAATGTATGCCTTCCAAATGAAGGAACACAAGTGGCCCATAAATAATACATTTAAAGTGGTTAACATCCTTACCTAAAGGGGAGTGGAAATCAGAGCTACAGCAAGATGCTACCTCATCCCGGTGAGAACGGCCACCCCAGAGAAAACAGACAACAAGTGCTGGTGAAGTTGGGATGGGGAGAAGAGTAGCCGTGGAAATCGATATGAAGGACCCGGCAGAAGCTAAGCATAGAGCTACCACAGACCCAGTTACACTGCTCCTGGGAAAGCCATCCCACCACAGAGACCACCGCATGCTGTGCTCACTTCTCACCACCTACAGCGGTCAAAATAGGAAACCGGCCTCGGTGCCCAACCGATGTATCGATGAGGACGTGGTGGTGGGTGTGGTGGTGGGTACACACAAGGGCCTCTTGCTTAGCCACAAAGAACACAAGCACACCATTTGTAGGAAAATGAGCATCATTTATTAAGTAAAATAAGCCAGATTCAGAAAGGCAAATGTCCCATGTTTTCTGTCATAAGTTGAAAATACCCATGACGGTATAATGGTGTGGTGGTGTGAGTAGGAATGGCCCCCATAGACTCACGTGTTCAACTGCTTAGTCATTGGGAGTGACATATTAGGAGGTGTGGCTTGTTGGAGTAGTTGTGGCCTTGTTGGAGGAAGTGTGTCCCTGTGGAGGGGGGCTTTGAGGTCTCATATATGCTCAAGCCACCCTCAGTGTGATAGTTCACTTCCTGTTGCCTGCAGATCAAGATGTGGAGCTACCTCTCCAGCACCATGTCTGCCTGCATGCTGCCATGCTTCCCACCATGACAATAATGGACTGAACCTCTGAAACTGTAAGCCAGCCCCAGTTAAATGTTTTCCTTTATAAGAGGTCACAGTGTCTCTTCACAGCGCTAGAAACCCTAAGACAAGTGGGGACTACAGTCAGTGGGTAAGGGGAGGGATAAGTATGGGTGGTCAGGGGTAAATAGAATCAAAGTGCCTTATATATAGCATGGAGATGTCACAATAAAAATATTTTGTAGAATTAACATACATGAAGTGAATAAGGACTTTACAATACACCTGGGCACAGTGCAGATCTCTAATGAGATGCTTGTTAGGACAGGGAATTTCTTCATACCTGTACCGAAAAAGGGTAGACCAGAAAAGCAACCATTTTATTTTTTTATTTTATTTTTTTTTCAAGACAGGGTTTCTCTGTGTAGCTTTTTGGAGCCTATCCTGGAATTCACTTTGTAGACCAGGCTGGCCTCAAAATCACAGAGATTCACCTGCCTCTGCCTCCCGAGTGCTGGGATTAAAACCGTGCACCGCCGCCGCCACCACCCAGCAAAAGCAACCATTTTAAAAAGCCAGGACTTGAACGAGCACATCCCTGAAGGGTCCATGGAACCAGCCAGAACCACATGAGAACAGTAGCCCAGAAGAGCGAGCCCAGGGACTGGGGAACTGCCGTTGTAAACAACAGGAAAGGCAGAGGGACAGACTGACACAAAGAAGGGAAAGAAGGAGACAGGGGAGGAGAAACAAATGGCGGTCTGAACCCTGGCGAGCATGTTGTAGGTAGTATCAGCTGGTGCTCAACTTACACGCTCTACAGTCCGGCCGTTCTGCCCTTTGCTTCCTGTTCACCTGAACTGCACGTGGCTGTGCACCAGAGACTAACTACAAACATCCCCTGCACCACTGTTTATAATACCTACATCCTTTAATGGTGAACTCAGGGGTATGTTGTGATGTAGTCCTACAACAGAGTGGCACCTATCCAGAAGACCCAGTACCATGGGCCAGTGGTGGCACACGAATGACAGATGACCAGGTGGCAGCTGGCATTTGCTCCCATCTTTACAAAAGTAGTCTGTGCTTAATGGAAGTCAGAGGATGCTGGCATATGCATGCAGAGCCTGGGACACAGCAAGAACGCGTTCCCTGGAATGCAGGTCACACGCTGTTTTGTTAACTTGAATGAAGGTGAGGCAGGCGTGTTCTCTTGGCCACGTCATCCACCTGAATGCTCATGTGCACTTTTGATTTCACATATTTTTAATAAAAAAAATTTGAAAGGGCATGTACACGTGGATTAAAGTAGGTAAGAAAAAGATCGTGGCTTCCCAGTGGCTGATGAACCTGCTGTCAACTATCTGTCCGTCTTGCTGACTTCTAGCAACTGAATCTGTATGAGTTTGAGACCTCTATGATCTAGAGTACTGATGGTTCCGACAACAGGATCAGGCCGTGCCACACTGGACCTTGCGGCCAGGGTGAAGGTGACACGTGGCGGCCCCTCTGAGCTGGAGGGGCTGTCCTGGCTCCTCTCTCAGCCTCTGGTGAAGTACCGATCACCCTGGGGGTTCCCTGGTTTCTGATGTGCCACCCTGAGCCCTGTCTCCTCCCCACAGAATGTCCCCTGTTGTGCAGACCTATGTCCATATTTTCCCTTTCAGGAGAATCAGGCACATTGCCTGAGAGCTCTGAAATCCTGCTTTAACGGCCTCAGTAAAGCCCCCATCTCCAAATAAGGCCAGATTGTGAGCTTCTGAAGGTAAGACTCCAACATATGACTCTGGCATACATAATTCATCACATAGCACTGTTAATCTACACACACACACACACACACACACACACACACACACACACACATGACTGTCAAGTGTTTGTGGTCTTTTAATGAAATCCTGGCTTTTGATTAAAGTTTGCTCTTGGAAAATACAATTTCCCTCCAGTACCTGGGGGCAAATTGTATAGTTGAGTTCAAAGTACACACACACAGCATGCATTTAGCACATAACTTGGGACAATAAAGCATGTGTTGGTAATAATTAGCTCTAGACGAATGACTAAGGAAGTCATTGAAAGAGGTCCAACATCATGCTTAAGTGGTAATTATCGGACATTCCGTGGAAGCCGCTGGGTTAGATTGTAGCCGTGATGTTCCTGAGAAGCTGACTGGCCGGCTCTTGCTTCAGACTTCGCAATACCATAAAATGTTAGCTTAATTTTAAATTAAGGCACCATTGTTGGAACTGATGTGGACAGTGACCGGTTTGCTGGCCTTCACACACAGGGCAGCAGATTTGGAGAGCTGGCGTCCTGTCTGAAGTCAGCCCCTCTGTGCCTTCACCTGCTCTGCTTGGATGACACTAAGGGGACCCCTCTGTGCACAGCAGTGCAAACCTGACCCAGCTCCTGGCCACACACACCCTTTGTACTGTCCGCTCTGAGTCAGGAAGGTGTTCCTACAGGATCAGTCAATAGCACAGCCTGTTCAGCTGGAGCTTTACAGAGAGCAAAGTATGTTGACACTTACGTCTGATCCCCAGAGCATTCTTTGGAGCTGGCCCGATAAGGTCTGTGGCACCCCGCCTCCCAGGGTACAGCTTTGATGTGCTAGTGAGAACCCAGTACCACACCTGACACGTAGCAAGCGCCCAGTAGTCACAGCCCTGGCGTTACACGCGTTTTTATTGTTATTACCTCCACAAGATCACATGGCTCATAAAACTCTGAGAAAGAACTTGACCCCAGGTCGCCAGACATCAGTCATTTCCCAGTGCCTTGAAACGTGACAAATAACAGGACTGTCGTCAAGGCTGCCTGTCCTGCAGAACCTCGGGGACAAGTGGAGGCAGGTGCAGGGGGCTGGAATGCTGCCGCTGTCTGTCCTCAGAAAGCTAGCTGCTGTTGTTTCTGGGTGAGCCCCAACCCGACAAAGGGAAGTGGGGCACACAGTGAGGGCCCCACGAATACAGGTCCTTGTCAATCTAGTTCATGGCAGGAACCAAAGCAGAGACCAGCTCCAAAGCCCTTCTAAGTCAGGAGCTGTGGACCATGTCACCCATCTCTCAGTCATCCCCCTCCCTCCCTCCCCGCCCCCCACGGCCGCCATTTAAATCCCAGAGATTGACAGGAGTCTACCTTTCCAGAAACTACATGGCACAGTCACTTGAAAAATACACCAGACATTCAACTTCTGTGGCATCCAGCCACCTAGGCAAGTATGTGGAGGAGCTGCCCATGGACTCAGGAGTCATTCTGTCATTTCAATGGGTGAGCACAACCATCACCGGACAGGAGGAGGAGACCCATCCTACATCATAGGAAACAAAACTAGCCAGCGGCAGAGCTCTAGATGCGGACAGAAGTGGAGCCGACCCCACGGCTCTGCTAGGTCTCCAAGGCTAGCCAGCTGCGGCACCAGGAGGCCACCTCCAGACACCCCTGCCTTATGTCCTGTCCTCTGCATCCTGAGAAAGTCCCACTGGTACTGACGGAGAAGGGGTATGTCTGCCTACGATGAATTACATGACTGCTTGGAAGATTCTCGCCTAGCTGAAACCAGACTCCAATCCAACTGAGAATCTGAGAGGAAGCCCACAGGGATTTAATAATACAAGGTAGAGCCAAGGTCAAAAGTGATGAGTCCCAGGGCCTCCGTGACATGGAGCTGTCTCTTCCACCCCGCAGAGCACCTGTACTTTCCCTCAGCGTCAGTGAGGGAAGGATTGTACCTTCAGGTGTGAACATGGTGGTTTGCCGCTGAGGATGCTGGAGGGAACAGGGAGCAGGCACATGTTGCTGGTCCCTCCTCCCTGCCCTTGGCCTGTCCCTGACGCCATGGCCCATTATCTCTACAGTCCTGTTAAAGCCACCCACCCAAGCGCCACGAGTCCTGTGTCTGTTTATTAAGTAGCAGAGGGAGGGTCACACTAAACGTAGGAACCTCTGGAGCTGGATCCTTGGAAGTGTTTGTAGAATGTTCCTCTAAGAACTTTCAGAAGGTCCATGGATAGTCACTTGAGAACCTGAAGATTAAGCAACTTGTCTGAAGTCCGCTCTAATCATAACCCTTTAGAACCAGGACATGTCCCTTGTGGACTTGGCTCGCTCTCTCTCTCTCTCTCTCTCTCTCTCTCTCTCTCTGATCTGGAGCAGGGAGGTAAGATCTGCTGGTGGGTTTCAGCTGCACCTCTCCACAGCTGGACACATCTGCGGGGGCTGCATTTCCATCTCAAACTCTGTTCTCTTGTTCATTCTTTGATAAGCCAGCCTTCCTTCCTTCCTTCCTTCCTTCTTTCCTTCCTTCCTTCCTTCCTTCCTTCCTTCCTTCCTTCCTCCCTCCCTCCCTCCCTCCCTCCCTCCCTCCCTCCCTCCCTCCCTTCCTTCCTTCCTTCCTTCCTTTCTCCCTTCTTTCTTTCTTTCTCCTATAGTAGTGGGAACTGAGCCCAGACCCTTGTACATGCAAAGCAAGTATTCTACCTCTTTTAACTTTTTATTTTGAGACAGGGCTTCACTGTAATATTCCTCACTTATCCCGGCCTTCAACTGTTCTGTAGCCTCGGCAGGCCTTGAATTTTCAATTCTCCCAGCTCAGCCTCCCAAGTAGCTGAGCCCCCAGCCCGGCTTTCTTTGACAAGTGTGTCCTTACGATTCTGGGAGCATGTGAACCTGAGAGCGCCACTGCATGCAGGCCCTGTGAGCTGTCGCCGTGGAGTGGACCAACCATGCGACTCCTTCTTCCTACAGCGCACCAGACTGGTCCGCCCTGTGGCCGGGCAGAGGCTGACTGGTACCAGGACTTCATTCTGAGAGTGCACAGAGGGACACAGACAGCAGAAGAGAGACTATCAGGTCACACAGGAAGATGTATGAGGGGTCTTGCTAACCCTGAAAAGAGAGGAGCTGGGGCTGGAGAGATGTCTCAGCAATAAAGAGCACTCGCTCCTCTTCCTGAGAACCCAGGTTAGGTTCCCCACACCCACGCAGTGGCTCACAACCATCTCTAACTCCAGTTCCAGGAGATCTGAGGCCCTCTTCTGGCCTCCACGGGCACTAGGCATGCACACACGACACATGCATGCAGGCAAAACACCCATACACATAAAATACTTTTTTTTTTTTTAAGTGAGGAGGTGTGCAGTGCATCTCTGGAGGTCGGAAAGAACTGAAGCAGCAGAGTCTCCAAGCTGCAAACCAACCCGAGAGACGCTCCGGAAAGCACCACAGCCACCCTGCCCCGCCCACCCAAGCGTTTGTGAAGGGGCCCATCTCCTGTCAAGGGCTCCTGTACCTCAGCAGGAGGTGATGTTTCAACCCCCACCTCGAGTGTCACAGGCTTGCACCAAGCCAATGAAGGGTTCAGAAATGAGGCAAAGCGAACTCCCTCCTCAAGTGCCTCGTGGGCTATCGCTGGGCCTTATGCTGGCGAGCTACCAAGCACTTAAATGAGAAGGGGTGTGTCTGCCCACGCAGACTCCAATCCAACTGAGAATCTGAGAGGAAGCCCACAGGGATTTAATAATACAAGGTAGAGCCAAGGTCAAAAGTGATGAGTCCCAGGGCCTCCGTGACATGGAGCTGTCTCTTCCACCCCGCAGAGCACCTGTACTTTCCCTCAGCGTCAGTGAGGGAAGGATTGTACCTTCAGGTGTGAACATGGTGGTTTGCCGCTGAGGATGCTGGAGGGAACAGGGAGCAGGCACATGTTGCTGGTCCCTCCTCGCTGCCCTTGGCCTGTCCCTGACGCCATGGTAGGGACATCAGGGACATCATCCTCGGTGGCTGAGGAAATATAAGATTTAGTGTCACTGAAGTGAGCACTGTTTAAACACTGAAGCTCAAACCTGTGTTCTTGCCTGTAAAATGAGTCAGGTGGGTCATCCCTCCTGCTAACTCACAAGACCTCCTGCCTCAGCTTCCAGGAAGACTCAGATGGACGTCACCCCCCCAAAGGCTCTCAGTGTGGGGAGAAGGTGAACCCTCAAGGTCATTTTACTGGTAATAATTATGACACATAAAAGCAGTAATCCTTGACCATATATCCCTACTAAGCTGTTTGTCCTGGTAACTTCTACCCCACACTGGCCACACGTGGGCCATCGTGCAGATTTGCATATCTTTATTCTGAGTCAGTTTATGTCGGTTAGTTTCTGAGCTGCATGGCCAATCATAGTGCTGTGTAGGTGGTCATCTCCAGTAGGTCATCTCCAGCTCTCTCCCTAAACCGTAACTGGAGAGGAAGAGAGCAAACTCTCTTTCTCTCTCTCTCTCTCTCTCTCTCTCTCTCTCTCTCACACACACACACACACACACACACACACACACACACACACACACACACACACACACGTGCACGCAGTCTCACAGAAAAGTCTTCTCCGGGCTGGAGACTCAACCAACACGAGTGTTTGGCTCATGCACTAGAGAATGGCAGGTCAGCATTTTGCATCATTGTCTCAGGTGGGCCGCTCTCCCTCAGTGAGCTCAGATAGGAGAAGTGGCCACACTGGTTTGAGGCATGAGGTAATTATCTAAAGGCTCATGGGGCAAGCTGGAAGCCTTGGCTCTCTCAAATAATCACACAGACCTTGGTGCATCTGTCCCACTGCAGGTAACTTCCAGACCCTGCAAGGTGAGATGGCTGAAGAAACCAGATCCCGCAGCATCTGGGGGCTGTCCATCCATTTTAATTGAATGCACTAATTGAATCACCCGCTTGGTAAGGAGAGCAGCCCTGTCTGCACGCTGCATTTCTTATAGCATGTCAGCGCTGAGCCTTTTATCCTTCCAAGAGACATGTTTCTTCCCAATGGAAGAAGAGCGAGGGGATGATAACTTTCCCTAGTAAACTGTCAGATTTCAGAGCTGAGCCAGTACTTACGGGCAGTGAAGTGCTTGCCTTACGAGCATGGTGAGCTGAGTTCAGACCCCCCAACACCCAGGTGAAGTTAGGTGTGGCGGTGCATGTCCGTAACACCGGCGCTGGGCAGTGGGGATGGAACTTATTGATCAGTCAGACTAGATGAAGTGATGGGCTCTGGGTTCAGTGAGAGACTTCATGTCATAAAATAAAGTGGGGGGGCAATTCATTTTCAAGACCTGCTCCCTGCTGCCTGGGCTCTTCTGCTCTGCTTCTCAATAGACTTTGCTCCCCCAAAATAAATGTTAGAAGAAAGATGAGAAGTGATTAAAGAAAGCTCCCATTGTGGAACATACACAGCACACCACACATAGATATGAGCGCTAGGCACAGCAGTCAATCAAACAAGTCAATAAATGTTATACTATCAGAGCATTTCCAAGAAACAGTTACTAGGAAGCTTGATGTCCTGATAAAGGTCCCAAGTCTCGTCTCGTCTACCTTAGAGTCCCTTTACATCTTTGCTGGTGCGGGGAGCTCTGCTCTTTTTCTCTACCCCCTGCCCCATGCTGACTCACCTCCAGCACCCCTGGGGACTGCACAGGGTGGGCTAGAGCCGAAGATCCCAGCAGCAAACCAGGGTGGGGGACACCCAAGGGCCTGACCTGTGATGTCAAAAGGTGGCGTCACACAGGAGGCTTTGGGCATCCAGAGAAGAGGAGGGAAAATGAGGCACTCTATAGAAATGACCTTCTGCTGGCCTGTGGGATTCTGTTGGGTCAGATGCTGAGACAGCCGTCTGGTGTGGCTCCTCTAAGGATAAGTAGATGGGGTCCCCTGGCTGTTTACCCTCAGACACCCACCTTCTTGTCCTCTACATTTCCCCCCTGAGCCTTGTCTCAGGTCTGCTGTTGGCACAGCCAAGCTAACCCTCCCAGACCTTCTCCTAGGTATGATGCCACAGAGCGAGCAAGGGTCCTGGAGAATGGGCAGGCGGCAGAAGCTGACAAGCTCAGCAGCCTGTCAGTGTGATGAGTCCCAAACTTGTGTGCAGCACAACACCTACCCCCTGCACGTGATCTCCGTCCCGGAGTTAGGTGATGTGCCCGTGACCAGAGGGCTCTTTTCCCTCTTTATCCAAACTTACTCTCTGAAGGAGTAACTCCAAGTCTTCTCCTAGGTCTTTGCAGCCACTTCATCCTGCACGGAGATCCCGGCACACACACACACACACACACACACACACCTGGCTTGTTAGCTTCTAAACATACTTCTACTGGGCTTACAAAGGACCGTTTAAGTTTCTGAAGGCTCATCTGCCACATTTTCTTGTGGCTGTCCATGATCTCAGCACACAGCTTTTTTCTTCCCCCCCATGGGAAAGGATTTCTGTTGTCAACAGCGCACACATCCCATCACCCTTCGGGTGGCCCGGTGGCCAGGTCTTTAATTTTATTTGTTTGTTTGTTTGTTTGTTTGTTTTACTTTTCCTTCCACCACAGGCATATGCTGGAAGAGGGACAGAGGAACTGGGCAGGCGTGCTGTGTTCTAGCCTGCAGGAAGCCAGCAACTGCTCCATGATGGTGCCGCCTGACTCTGTCCCCTCCTCCATTTACACTGAGCAGGGGCAGGATCTTCTGCAGTCACTGCTCTTGCCTCTGCTTCTCTGAAAACCTCTTCGCCAGTTCAAACTGTCCGACCAGGAGCAGCAAACACACGCAGCAAGAAATCTCCCAGTGAACACAGACCCGCTGCACACCCCAGAAAGGGCGGAGTGCCCCTGACTCCATACTAATCCTTCTGTGCCCCACTAAAGACACAGGATGTGGGGACTAAACAGGAGAGGGACAGGGGGGTGGTGGCAGAGACAGCGAGCCACCCCGGTCTGTAGTCCATTGCCAAATGGTTCTTCTTGGCCAAGAATGTACTCCAACGATGGCCTTCCCAGCACTGTCTAGACTTTGACAATTTCCAATGTTACGTAACTCAGGGTGGCGGAATATTTTCCCATTAACTGCGGAGTGAGCCCACAAAGGTCACCGATGAAATAATGTTTCAAAGGGTATGGAAAGCACTCAAAAAATTCAAGAAACTGGAGGGCTAGCCACACCCATACTTTTTGATACCCATTCATAGATAAAGTGAGGTCTCAGGTTTGACCGGCCTAGGTTCCAGTCAGGGTTTGAGAAGTGTGGAGAAAAAAAAAAAAAATAAGACCAGCTTGTCTCTTTGCTGGCAGAATGAGGATGTCTGTCCAGGGACAGGGACAGCCCCACAGCTTGCTAATGGCCTAATGATGACACAGGACAGTTGCCCTGGTTGGAGCATCGCTGAGCTGGCTGAGGCAGGAGGCATTTCACAATCACATTTTGTAATGGATTTGATAGACGCTGGTGCTCTGGGCTCAAAAGAGAACGGGAAATAGAGAAGAACACAAAATAGCAAGGAAGGCAGGGGCATTCTGGGAATAGGGAAGGCCCGCCCCAGCCCACTGGGAGGTCCTCATTTAGAGTGCCTGCAGGGTCTGCCGCTGATAGACCAGTATCTGTAAGCCAGTCAGGATCCTCTTTATGTAGACGCTGCTTTACCATCCACAGGCTGTAGGCCGAGACCTGCCCCTCTCTGACTTCCACAATTGCTGTGAGTCCATGCATTTCTGGGCCCAGACAAGTCCTCTTCCTCAAGAGGCTGGCCTCGCAGCGTGAGAGATATACACCTGGAGTTCAGGCTGGACTTTCAGGGGTATTCCCAGGATCCTGCCCACCCCAGGTGTCTAAGAACTGGCAACAAGTACAGAGGTCTTTCTAGTTAAAGTGAACCCCCCCTCCCCCATGAATGCTGTCACTTTATTTATTTATTTATTTTTTTTTTGGTTTTTCGAGACAGGGTTTCTCTGTGTAGCTTTGCGCCTTTCCTGGAACTCACTTGGTAGTCCAGGCTGGCCTCGAACTCACAGAGATCCGCCTGGCTCTGCCTCCCGAGTGCTGGGATTAAAGGCGTGCGCCACCACCGCCCGGCAGTGAATGCTGTCACTTTAAACACTGACTTAAAAGAGAAATTTTCTGTGAGATTCAAGGCATCTGCTGCCGGCTACTCTTGTTCTTGAGGGACTCTGTTTGGTCTACTGATTTATGACTCCCGATAATGTTTCTTTAAGTCCTGACTGACCCATCATCCCCTGACCTTGGTGAAGCCCCTCTCTGCTGCTGAGTGAAGCCGAGCCACCGGTGACCATGAGCGGAGCCTCTGCCATCTGTCCCTGTGTCGTGGACATGTGTCAGAGCAGCATGATGGGCGCCTGGGGACTTGGGAGCAAAGTGTAGCCCTGGCAAGTGTCCCTCTGTCAGTCAGCAGCCCCTCCTGGGGACAGGAGTCTGCGGGCAGAGCAGGGACATGGTGTTCCATCGACATCGACAACAGCCATGCTCAGCACAGAAGCGGCACACGTTGCTTTTTTTTTCTGTGCAGGATAATCTTCCATACCCAGAAACAGAGGATGGCTCAGTCCGAGAAGGGCCCACCACACAGACGTGAGGACCTGAGTTCAGGCCCCCAGAACCCACGTAAAAACCGAGCACGGTGCCGTGTCTTTAAGCCCAGTACTGAGGGGTGGAGACAGGTGGATCCCTAGAGCTCATCAGCTATCTAGCCTCATCTGATTGATGAGCTTCAGGCTTAGTGAAGAGAACCTGTCTCAGTACAAACAAACAAACAAACGAACAACGAGAACAAGGGAGGAAGATATCCAGTGCTGAGCTCTGGCCCCTACACACACACACACACACACACACGCATGTGTATAAATACAGACACATGCGTGCACCACAACAAACACAAAAAAACAAATCACCAAACAAACAACAGACAAAATGACTTCAAATGATGGCAAGTCAGAGGCCAGGGAAAAGTGGAATGCTCATGGTGGCTGAGCCATCTCTTCCCTCATGGCTAGGTAGGCAGACAGAGCTGGGGGTGGGGTAGGGTTGGGGGCTGGGATAGACATCAACACCATGCTGAGCTCGGGCAAGCTGGTATGCCCAGTACACTTTTGGACCATTTTCAAAACCAGCTCCCACCACCAGGCTTTCTTGTCATAGGGATGTTGTGTGAGCTCGGGTCCTGGAGGTACCACAGAGGGAACTGTGCTGTGCAGCCACCCAGGTCTACAAAGGGCTCCAACTGCAGCCCAGTGTAACTGCCACACGTTATTTTACAACGTGGTTCTTAAAGATTCTATTTGTAAAGTTTTGTGTTATTTTTCATTGTGTGCATGTGGGTCTTGTAGAGGGAGTGTGTGCATGTGAGTGTGAGTACTAGTAAATGGCACTAGATCCCCTTGAGCTGGAGTGACACGTGGGTCACTCCACGTGGGTCCTGGGAACCGATCTTGGGTCTTCTGGAAGAACAGAAAGCCCTCTTCACTGATGAGCCGTCTCTCCAGCTCCCTTAAAAGAGCCTTGTTTCCATGTTGTCAGTATTTACAAATCTGCCCTAATGTATTTATTTGTTTACATTCTAGATCAATCCAAACTGCATTTTGGCTGCCTTCCACACACACACCAGTTCAGATGAAATCCAGGAACACTTCACTCTCGACTGAACACCACAGTATGGGCCACCCTCAGGTGATGCGGCTTTAGGGTTACACAGTTGTTTTTCCACATCAACTTTATACATTTAAGCCAGACTTAAAGCTTAACTCACAAGGACCCCGATTTCCTCGCTGTCTGTGTTCACCTGTCAAGTCAAGGCTCAAAATACTACAGAAAGCGCTTTCTAATTGTCGCTCAAAGGCAATCAAGCAATCAGCAAGAGCAGGCATCGGCTGTAAATGTCAACCCAAACAAATATTTCAGAGAATTTTAATTTAACAAAGTATTGATTGAATAGCTCTTACGTTCAAAGTCTTGTGCTCACTCAGAGAGGCAGGGAAAGGAGGCAGAGGTGCCTACAGACTAAGGAGACAACCTTAGCTCAGGCTCTGTTTACCCCCATCCGGAGGGCTTTGCCGGGTGGCCATCTGCCTGTCGCCGCAGGAGCCTCCTCTATGTCCCATGGTCATCGGCACTCCCAGGCCTGTGTGCAGCTACATGTGGGGCAGTGGATTTCTATACTGGGTCACTAATGCTGGAGGCCAAAAGTGCCCCCAACTAGCCAGGGACTATTTCCACTGAGTGATTACTTTGCCTGGCAAGTGTCAGTCTGTCTGGTGTCTGTGTCTGTTCAGAGATGTGGAGAATTCCTCACTACCCTGCCAACCCTGCCAGACATAGTCCATGCATATATACACACTCCAAGAAAACAGGTCACAGACAGACACACAGCTCAGGGTCCCTAGGAGTTGAGTTTTAAATCTGGTTCAAATGTTTAAAATAGGAATAAAACCTGAATAAGTCCACAGTGACCCACTATGAAACTAATGTGCCCTCATATTTCTCTCTCTCTCTCTCTCTCTCTCTCTCTCTCTCTCTCTCTCTCTCTGTCTCTCTCTGTCTGTCTCTGTCTCTGTCTCTCTCTCTGTCTGTCTCTGTCTCTGTCTCTCTCTCTCTTTCTCTCTCTCTCTCTCACACACACACACACACACACATTGTGTGTGTATGTGTATGCAAAGCAAAAAATGCACTTTGGATCTATAGAGACTATAAATTAACACACACACACACAAGTGGATAGGCCATGAGTCAGAAACCAACACTTGGTAGCTGTAAGATTGGTGTATGGTTTTCTCTCCTACACAGAAATAATGGGCTTTATTGCGTGATACTGATATTTAGAGTTTAATCCTCAATAATTATCAGTAATTATTAGTGTTTGGCTGTGAATAGATAATTATGCAAGTGGTGTCCTCCTTTTGAAATGGAAAAGTGGGGTGACGCTACAGAAACAGTCACTTTAATCCCAGAAGCTCTCGTTCTCTAGCCAATGGTGAGCAGCCCCAAACATGCGCAGAGCAGCCATGCCGTGGCATCCGCCCCAGGCCTGCCTGGGATCTCCTTCTCCACAGTCTTATCAGGAAGCGCAGACAGCCAGAGCAGAGGGCAGCCTAGGGGAAGGTAGCTGACCCCACATCACCTGAGGAAGTGAGGATCCAATCCCAGGATCTGTGCACAATACAGGTTCTCCTTGGGTGTGTCTGGGGGATGCCTCTGCCTCTGCCTCCCTAACAAGTTTCCTGGAAATGCCAGGACCCTGGTCTACAGACTGTACTTTGCAACATGAAGTGGGAGAGGGTTTCTGTGTGCACAGACCCCGTGCTTGCCATACAGGTCCAGATCTCAGTAGGAGGACAAGCCAGGCCTAACTCCTGTTACCGTGACAGCAAGGGGGCAGAGAGGTTCCCATGCAGTGCGGCAGGGGCTCTGAGTCTTCTTCATATAGCTGTGGTCTGCAAGGGAAGAGGTTGGCCTGCAGATACACATTGGAGCAACATCACCTCAGCATCAGGAAATGCCACACCCACACCCCCATCCCTGGCCTCTACGTGTTGATATGGACTCACTTCTACAACTCTTTGCACAAAACACCCTAAAACGTGTAATGCTGCAGGCCTTCAGGATGGCTCAGCAGGTAACGATGCTACTGCCAACCCTGACGACCCGAATTCCGTCTCCAGGCCCCACATGGTAGAAGGAGAGAACTGAGTCCTTCGTGTTACCCTCTGACCTCCACATGTTCACCGTGGCACACACAACAGGAATACACATCAATTAATAAATAAATATAATTAAAACAGCGTTGATGTGATGTTTCCTGCAATCTTCACAGATGTGACTTTGTATTTAATGTTACAGTGTATCTCATATACCTCAGATTCTCTTTTTTGTGTGAATATATATATATATATATATATATATATATATATATATACACACACACACATATGCATTTTTTTTCTAACACAAGTTATGGGTTGAAGTAGAGCTCGGATGATTGCTTGTTTCCATGTGGCTTTACAATGGTCACTGTTAGAATTTTAAGGTTGGGACAGCTTCCCTGTGCGTGCGTTTGATTTAGGTTGATGAATGGGCTGCAAAGAGATCAAATACTATTGGTAGAGGCAGTTGCTAAGAGATTCTATTGACAACAGGTGATGGTAATCTTGTGTCTGAAAAAATGCAGATGCTACAGAAAACATGACTATCCACCTTGAAAACATCAGGGGTGTGTGTGTGTGTGTGTGTGTGTGTGTGTGTGTGTGTGTGTGTGTTCCCAGTGAAGGTCATTCAACTCTAAAGCTCACAGAAGGATAAAAATAGATAGAAAACCATAAAGGACATCCAACATAAAATTTATGTCAAAGAGATGACAGGGGATAAAAGGAAGTGATTGTGATACCAGCTATAAAAGGTAAGTGTGGGCCAAGGGCGGAGAAATGATTAACTTTCTATTTTGTCGGCACACCTGTTAGATATAAGCCAACATTTTAGCACACCATGAGCTGCCCCTACACAGTTTTAACAGATTGCTGACTGACTATTCAATATCAACGCTGGCATATCTCATTACAGAGAACTAAGGGGTGAGCGGGTGGAAGAATGACCGTGGATCTGAGGTGTGGATCTGTGCCGTCTCTCAGATCGCAGAGACCCCCTGTCTGGTCACAGATCCCGAGGCCAGCTGGTCAATATGGTGGAAGCCTGTGATGTCCAGGTGAGACAGAGCCAGGTTCCTGGCTCAGACTTACTTTAGAGCTTCTCAGTAGGACTTTACTCAACCTCCATCCTTTTTTCCTCAGAAGGAAGAGAAATTACTTAAGGAACTAATATAGACTCACAAGAATGATGTAGTTGCAGAGTTATTTCATTGTCAACTTGGTGGGAATGGGAATTACCTGGGAGACACACCCCCGGGCAGGTTTGTGAGGGTTTCCAAGGAGGTTCAGCTGAGGAGGAAAGCCATTTTGAATGTGGGCTACACCATACCACAGGCTGGGATCCTGGACTGAATAAAAAGTAGAAAGAACACTGAGCCCCAGAGTCATCCTTCTCTGCCTCCTGACTGTGGATGCAGGGGACCAGAGGCCTCAGGTTCCCAATGCCATGCCTTCTGCCATGGAGGACCATATATACCTCCAAACTGCAAGTCAACATTAACCTTTACATTGCTTTTCTCAAGAGTTTTATCACAGCAACAAGAAGAGCAGCTGATGTAATTACCTCAATAAATCCATCCTCTGAAGCGAGATCTTCATTGAATTCTTCCCATGTCGGTTTTATTAAACATCTCGTAGTGTAATTAATGCTTTACATAATGAATTGGATGCAATGTAACAATGGCGTTGGGAGTGAGAGCAGCCTCTGCTGCATGAACATGTGCAGGCTAGAATCACTGTGAGCTTCCAGAACTCTGGAACCCACAATACACCCCAGACCAGGTCACTCAGCCACGGGGGTTGAAATCCCAAGATTTCCAAAGCTCCAGGATGTATTGACAAAGCTGCAGTCAGTAGCGGAAGCATGTGCTCCAGACCAGCGGGGTTTTGATGCTTCGTCTGACTGGGTCTGCTCAAGGGGCCTCTGTCCAGAGCCTGTACTGTCCTGTCCATAGGAGAATAACACTGTCCCGTGCAAAAATAGAGCGTGGCCTTGGCTGCAACTCCTGGGGCCGATGAAACGAATGGTTTTGGGAGTAGGATCTGCCCGGTGGCCTGGCCCAGTAATTTCTAGTCCTTCTGACAAGGCTTGTCAAGAATTCATCCTGCATCAGGTTTGACTGTGGAGATACAGTGAGCGAGGAATACGGCATGTTCACCTCTCTCCAGCAGCTCGTAATTTACCAAGAAAGAGTCCATGAAAAATAGAATAGAGCTTATTACCATGCCGGAGGAGACTGGAGGAGACTCAGGCCCCAAACAGCCCTCCTTGTAGGCAGGAGGAGGAAGAGGAATAAAGGACGTGGCTTGACTGAGCTTCACCTTCAAGCAGGAACTAGGCAAATGGGACAGGACAGAGGAGGCAGAGCTCCTCCTCTAGGAAGGGGTGTGGGCGTCTGCCATGCTCCAAAGACCAGGATTACCTCTAGAGTAACACAAAGGGTCTTTTCCTAGGAGACGTGGGACCACTGTCTTTGGTCTTGTTCCATTCTATACAGGGTGATGCTTAGCTCAGTCAGTGTTTGGAAAGAAAAATTAGACACCAGTGGATGGACAGAACTTCCCTATGTTAATCCAGGAGGAGACAAATAACAAGATGAACGAGGTAGATGTACCTCAGTACATTTCCCTACCTCAGAGCCAAACCTCTCTGGAGTCAGATGTGCCAAGGATGTCAGGGAAGGAGGGATAAACAGGGCGAGAGGGTGTAGCTCTGGAAAATATGTCCCCACTGTCATATCTTCTGCCATGGAGCTCTACCCTGTGGTGGTATTGTGTTCCCCAAAATATTGTGTACCCTAATAATCTTATCTGGGGTCAGAGAACAGAAAAGCCACTAGATACTTAGGATAGTCAGTGATAGCACACGCCTTTAATCCTAGCATTCCAGAGGCAGAAATCCATCTGTTCAAGGATACAGACAGGCATGGTGACTCATCACGCCTTTAATCCCATGGAGTGATGGCAGAAAGCAGAAAGGTATATAAGGCATGAGGACCAGAAACTAGAAGCATTTGGCTGGTTAAGCTTTCAGGCTTCCAGCAGCACAGTTCAGCTGAGATTCATTCTCGATGAGGACACAGAAGCTTCCAGTCTGAGGAAACAAGACCAGCTGAGGAACTGGCGAGGTGAGGTGGCTGTGGCTTGTTCTGTCTCTCTGATCTTCCAGTGTTCACCCCAATAATTGGCCCTGGGTTTGATTTTATTAATAAGACCTTTTAAGCTTCCTGCTACACTACCCCAAGTGCTGGTTGTTTTTACTTCAACCTGACACAGGCTAGAGCCATCTAGGCAGAAGGAACCTCGATCAAGGAAATGAATCTGTTGAACCGGCCTGAGGGAAGTCTGTAGGGCATTATTTCTTGACTGATGATTGATGGGGGTAGAGCCCAGCTCACTGTGGGTGGTACCACCCATGGGCAGGTGGACCTCGGTTCTATAAGAAAGCAGGCTGAGCAAGCCATGGGGAGCAAGCCAGTAAGTAACACTCCTCTGTGGCCTCTGCATCAGCTCCTGCCTCCAGGTTTTTTGACTTAAGTTCCTGCCCTGAATTTCTTTCATGATGGACTGTAAGCTGTAAGATGAAATAAACCCCTCCATCCATAAGTAGTTTTTGTTCTTTCATGGCCATGGTGTTTTACCACAGCAACAGAAACTAAATAAGATGACGATCCAATGCCCAACGGATAAGCTGGCTACCCAATGCCCAATGGATAAGATGGCTACCTAATGCCCAACGGATAAGATGGCTACCCAGTGCCCAATGGATAAGATGACTACCCAGTGCCCAATGGATAAGCTGTCTACCTAATGCCCAATGGATAAGATGGCTACCCAGTGCCCAATGGATAAGATGGCTACCCAGTGCCCAATGGATAAGATGGCTACCCAGTGCCCAATGGATAAGATGGCTACCCAATGCCCAATGGATAAGATGGCTACCCAATGCCCAATGGATAAAATGGCTACCCAATGGATATTTGGGAGTAGGGGTCTAGATCTGAGCTGAGTAAGTCAAAGGAGGAAATACAAAACATTTCTTCAAATTTTTAGTTTTAGTTATTATTTTTTTTTTTTACTCTTGGGTCATTTCATACGTGTATACAATGGATGGAGGTCATTTTAACTTTAAATTAGCATGATAGACACTAGATATCATTTGGAATTTTCAACCACAGTGTGTCTCATCGATTCTCTGCCTCCCTTATTGCCCCCATTGTCTGTCCCCATCTTCCATTGTGCCATCCCCAGTTCCTTTCCGTTCTCATGGCACATGTGTCCTTTTCACACATCCCTTCCTTAGCTTCTCTTCTTAACCATCTTGGCCTGGTGGCCTGGTGGCCTTTCTAGTGATTTTTAGACTTTACCCACATTTACACCCATTTACAGTCAGACAGATAGATATAGATAGACAGACAGATATGGCGAGCTAGAATTTGCATATGAGAGGTAACATGTAGTTTTTGTTTTAGACAGTATTAATATGTGAAACATACAAAGGAGGAGGCAAAGCAGAAGGAAACACACAAGAAGCAGAGTAAACATAGGCACGCCCAGCCTGGACCACTACCCTCGATAGATAGATAGATGATAGATAGATAGATAGATAGATAGATAGATAGATAGATAGATAGATAGATAGATAGAGATAGAGAGAGAGAGAGAGAGAGAGAGAGAGAGAGAGAGAGAGAGAGAGAGAGAGAGAGAGAGATTGGAGGGACTTTTACCTTGCTAAACAAAAGATCACATGACATTCATTTATATAAAATTCTAGAAAAAGAAGTCAAGTTAGTAAGATCAGTGGATATCTGGAATAAGAGGAAGGAGTGTAGGAATGGTGTTTTAGATTTTTTTGACTCGTGCACCCGGGTGTCTCACTGCGGCTTTAGTTTGAGAGTCATGTCACGGGCTCACTGGTCCGTTGTACAAATGCTCCAGCGTTGCTGCACAGCATTCAGTCATTTTAGTTGTGCCCTTTGCCTTTGCACGCTTGAGGAGTAAATACTGTAGCGAACCTCATAATACAAGCAAACACGAAGTAGGAGAGTGTATAAAATATTGAAAGATTTCAAAAGCCAGCTCCACTGAATTACCCCCACCTTCTAGGCTCTCTGCCATGTGAGTAACACGGCGGCTTCTGAGCTTCTGGTGGTGCTGTCATATGAGCCAATGCTCCCATGCACACACATGTGCCCATCCACACCCCCACACATGCACCCTACACACACATGCACTACACATACACACACACATTTACAACACACACATGCACCACACCACACACACACACACACACACACACACACACACACACACACACACTACTCATCCCAAGACTTTTATCACATTCCTGGATCAAATATGCTCAGTTATGGAGAATTGCATTTTAAAGACCTCTCAACCCAATTTGCTGTTATTCTGAGTGTAAGTGTGCACAGAGTAGACAAGTCTACAGTTTATGAAGTGTGCACATCTGTGTGCCAGGGTGGTCTCAGGTGAGACTGTGGTTTATGGGGTAGGCACACCCTTGCCAGCAGGCCTCTTTGTCAGATTTGATGTCAGTTTGTGTTGACGTCACATCAGTAGCTACACCGCACAGTCCCGGCCCCGGGGCTGGAAGCTCCAATGCCTTCTCCGCAGTCACTGGGGACAGGAAAAGCACGTTGGGGAGGAGGGTGAATGGCGCAGTGAGGCAGGAAGCGTGGTGGTCCCTGTGGGACTCAAGGTGGATGTGGGTTAAGGTGTCTCCATTTCTGGCTTCTGGCCCCCAGAGGGTCTCTGATTTGAGGACAAATTGGACCGCAAGCTGAGGAGACTGCCAAACTACAGACACCCCTCCACCTGCAGGCTCCCTGTTCCTGGAATTGTTGTCAGAGCGGGAGAGAGCGCAGCAGGAGAGTCCAGCTGGGCGACTCCCCTTGTTAAATCGCCCTGGCTCCTGGGACCAAGCTCCAGACAGATGCGTGGCTGGTCCTCAGCCTTAAGCTGTATTGCACACTAAGTCATGTCTGCCTGGCTTCTCACCACTCTTCCCGCTCTAGCTAGACTTGCGTGGCTG